AGAGAGAGAGAGAGAGAGAGAGAGAGAGAGAGAGACGGTGAAAACGAGAGAAAGATGATATGTACTTACGCATATGTACTCTCTTCCTCCGGATCTCGAAGATCAGATCATAATCAAATCGAGAAGGACACATTTCGGCACGAGCCAAAAGCACAGATATAGCAACGGTGGAAGATATGGAATGCGGTGTATCCTTTGGGAATTTAAATTCCAAAAATCGAGATTAAGCACAGACTTGTTCGACGTCATCGGGTTATCATTCGTGCCACTGATTGAGATTCTTATTGATTTAGCGATTTCGCGCTAATCGCTATGCAAATAACCATGGAAATTTGCGCGAGGCTACTCTCGCGAAAGATTTAGGTGTTACGTCCTGTTTTTTACCCGCTAAATGCAATGGTGAAGATACAGCAGCTGCGACAGGAATTGCCTACTTGTCAGAACTTTCAAAGAGACACATGTGCAATGTGCTATGCATTAAAGATGAATTATCTGTGGTAGCATAAATTATTTGGCGTAGTCTTCTCTCCGGATGACTCTTGAGATGACTTGCCAAATTGAGTCACTTGTCATAATTAGTTTCTAGGACAGAATGAGGGGACTGTCCATATTTCATTTATTATCAAATTATGTCTCTTTTATGATAATGCACTTCCACTTACGCTTAAACTTTAAGGAAGGAATTGGTCTTGGAATCCCCGATTAAAACGCTACTATTATTTTTAAAAAATCTCACAGCACCACTTACAAACGATCTCATATTAAGCTAATAGAGAAGTCGTAGTTGACCAAACACTCAAGATAAGTTAGTTTATGATTTCGCTTTCAAAGTATATTTCACCGAGTACTTCTATCTATACTACCAAGTAGATGATACTTCGTTCGCGTATAGACCTCTACAACTTTCCAACGTGCTTTATACGATCCGATGATTGTCTTGCAAGAAGTCGCATCGCTCACTTTACACATTATTAAATCTAATTGTTACATTTCTCGCTTCTTGCCGAAACTTCGCTCTTATTATGGTGTATCACACTTGTTAGATTAATTTTATTACTGTACATTTCTTAATAATATATATATCCCGATTTTCGCTAATATAATAATTACTTTTGGATTATGTATTTGTGATATTGCATTCCTCTTGATTTTCTACTCTCTTCCTCTTTCTATTTGTCTTTTATTTTCTGTGACATATTCACTGTATTAATCCTACAACTTAAACGCTACATGGTTAAGATCATCTTCTTTGGGAAGGTAGGTACAGATCAATATGATAACCAGTCAATGATCTTCAAAATTAATGTATTCCAGTGACTCTGTCGCACGGAACATTTAACGGTTTTTCACATGGAATGTGCGTGCACGCATCACTGTGGTTCGATCATGCGTGTGTGAGTTGGGCACAAGCCAGAGGTTTCCTCCAGGAGGACAAGCCGCGCCTCGTCTCTCACATCACCGCGACCCAAAGGCTTCTTGTCTAGAAAAAAAGATAGAAAAAGGGAGGAGACATATCCAAAAGTATTTCATCGCTGCCAGTGTATCTGTGCGCGAAGGAAAGAACTCGGATGTGCGACTGACTTTCTCCGCGCTTCAAGTTCGAAGATGGTCAAGCGAATCTCTCTGCATCGGTCCAGCTTACGTTCTCACGAAGTCACGAACTCGACTTATCGAAGAATTTACTTACGGTATTTTAATATACACGCGATAAGTTATTTAAATGAATGATATGAAATTTTCATTTAAAAATGATGACATCGATCTTACGATTGTTTTGTAGTGCTTTATAAAATTGATGAAATTTATGTTAGAACACGTAAAAAATATTTAAAATGTATGTCAAGTTAAAAAACATTTAAAAACTTTTAGAAACTTTTCTAAAATTAATTTTATACAGGTATATCTTCTCTTTATTTTCTCGTCTAATTGTAAGAGTAAAAAAGAAGTATTTAAAATACTTAAATTTTTGTGTTTTCTTTCAAATAAAGATGGATGCAAATAATACGAGTATGAATGTGAGAGAATGTAAAAAAGATTTTTATATTTAATTCATAAAGACATACATTTTTTGTATAACTATATCGTGATGCAAAACAATGTAAACGTTAATTATTCCTATATATTTTATCGCTCTAAAATATTATTACTTCTTTTCTTTCTCTCAGTTAGATTCTTTTACGACTTCCTTGTGTGACAAAGTATATACATAGTATACAATGGTCTCATGTGGAACTTTCACTTTGTTCCCGCTACTTTTTTCGCTCGTCTCGCACAAGAAACGTTTATTTTCCCCATACATTAGATTCTGTTGTTGTCACGGTCAAATGTCCCTCATCAGCAAATTTGAAAGTTCCGCTGTACTTTACATTATGTATCTATTACATATAGAAATTAATTTGTACATAGCATCGCGAACTAAAACGCTAATCCGAGTGGTACATCAAGCCGTGCGCAGTCTTGGTGGTGGAACACTTTCCTCTCGTCGACGTCGGCGAGAGTGAACTCGTCCGAGGATCGAGGTCAGGTCAAGGCCCCCATGAAGTGAAGCCTCCGTACCTGAGAGTTCTCGCTCTCCTGCTTGTTCTGCTTCTTCCCATGCTTCACCCTATACACCTTTATACATTCTGTCCGTTCGTTTGTGCGCTGACCGCTTCTTTAATGCTTTACGAAACGTTTAACTATGATCAAAACGAATTATCGCGGTAGACGAATGAAGAAAACACTTTTTGCTGTACATATGAAACTCGGATCGTTTCTTAAATTCATTTATCCAAAGTCGTTAGAGTGTACATCTGTTTTCCTACTTTTTTTTTTTTTGTACGATGCGAAAGATAAGTGAAACGTATATGAAAGTACATAATTTTGTGCAATTATTACATGCATTTTATGTCGCTATGCGGGTTAGTAAAATCATAGTACCTATTGATCCGTTTTGCTTTCCTTCGTACCGTTGGGAATGCGAAGTAGGATACAAAAGAAAAAGAAAAAAAAACGATTCGCACTTTGCACACTGGAAATACACATGAATGAACGAAACGAAAGTTCTCTTTCTTTTTTTCTCATTTGCGCTCGGATGCGATTCCACTGCCTTTTACCTAGCAATTAGCTCTTCTCTTTATAATTCATTTGGAGCAAACGATATGGACTACTAAAAAACAGAAGTAAAACCGCATAAACGAATGCATGAGGACTAATCGTTGGAATGATACACCCACCGAGATGCAAACAATAGGATAGGCAAGCAGATGTATAGTTAATATTAACTATATATATACCTCGTAATAATAGCGCGCGCGATACCGCACAAATACGGGTATTCTCCGTGCACAGCTCTAATTTGTTTATTCGTTGCCGAAGAAAGCAGCGATATTAGTACTTTCACGAGAATAAATTTGTGCTTAATATAAACTCACTCAACTAGTTAGTGCTAATTCTCGCGAATGACCTACATACAACGCTCTTCTAATTCGTTCCTCAGCTTATTTTACATCGCTGTGTTCGCTAATCATGATTATATTATAATTTCTATAGGAATACCGTGGCAAGTACTGAGACAAATTAACAGGCAGCATTGTTACTTTGAATGCATAAACACAGTATCCAAATATCTATAGTGATACATATACCATATACTGTATCTAATAAAATGAAAAAGAAAAGAAGGATTCCAAATCACTGAGGTTACTTTTGGAATTCAAACATGGAAGGCTGACTTTTCGTCAGCGCACGTCAGGAACGTCCGCTTATTATTGGGCGTTCTTGAAAATCGGTAAACTTGACAGATTTGAACGACAGGTCGATAGATGAGGACGAATATAGGGAGAAAGAGAGACGTGAACTCGCGGAGAGAATCGGGGGAGCAGGCTTCGACTTTTTCTCCGGTATGGTAGAGAGTGTTAGGCGCACCTTGAAAAGACTCAGCGCGGATGCTGACTGGCCCGATCGGTCTGCTCGGCCTGGTTTACTTCCCGAGTGTGTGTCCACCGACTGGACGAGAGAGCCTCCCCGCGTGTACGTCCTACGTATACGCAGGCAGGCTCTCTCGTGAGCGCGCACGTGTACGTTTACACGCTCGAATACGCCGGCCCGGCCGTAGCGCGGACGGGACGAGAGTCGAACAAGTGCGTAAAGATGGATATGTGCTCGCGTGGACACATCAGGTTTTATTCGTACATTTCTCGTATGTAGGTAATGCCGCTCCTTCCCTCGGTCCCTCTATACGTATCTACATCCTATTCCGCTGCGCTTACTACTTTGACGATCTTTCTTCATTTTTCTCCGGAGACTTCGGATGGACGTACGTCCAGTTATGTTACTTGCATCGAAATGCTAAACCGTCATTCAGATGACAACTCATCGCGTACACGGTCCATGCCCATAAAAGCCTTTCTCTATCTTATGTCTCAGCGCTTTCCACCTCCGATTCTCTCGCCCCCTCCATCTTTTGTCGCATCTCGCGCATCGAGATCTCTTACTTTCGATCGCGAGTCCCGAATCAATGGGTCATCAGTCTCGGTCAGGCTCCAGTTCTTTTGCACGCCTCATCCCCATCGTTTCTCGCGCATGCATCTTACTCATACTCCTAGCATTTCGCTCTTTTTCGCACTTATTGCTCTCTCCTCGCAGCAGCTCTACGATTTTAGTGTATCGTTTCGACATCCGTTAGTTTCACCCGAATTTTAAACAACTCGCAAACGATGCTGGAATTCCAATGAGTAAGCGTAAAAATACGAAACAGTACAGCCGAGTATAACTAATACACAGTATTTAGTCGAAATAACCAGCCATGCGTATACGGATTTCATTCAAGGAATAGCAAGAATTCATTGATAGGAAAGGAAACGAGAAAATAAAACATACAGCCATATTCAATAATTATAGACTTAATTTATTTGCGTATTTATAAATATACATATATTTTATAACAGCGAGCATATCGCAGCTACGCGTGAAACAATAAATACTGAGGATGATTGGTGCATGAATGGTTTCATACGTGCGATGATCTAGAGCGTCGTAAAGTGAACACAACTGGATAAGAGATAGTGAAAAGAGAGATCAGACAGGTGTGAGAGTTTTATCGATAGTTTAGAGAGAGAGAGAGAGAGAGAGAGAGAATTATCCGTAGGATAGAAATAAATCAAAATTATACGAAGAAGAAGAAGAAAATCTTGCAAGAGGAAATAACGACGTGATTAAAAAGATGCTATGATAATGTTTCTAATTTTTTTTCCTAGGTTGACGATGGTTTGTATGCAGAGTAGGCAATATCGTGTCCCGATCTCGCCCATCCGCCCGATCCATGTCCTCCTCCAACTTGAACGACTTCGTGTCCATGATCGTGGCTACCAGATACGAGTTTCTTTAATCCGATAATAGAAGCGAGTACGAGAGCAAGTTTGCTCACTATCAATGCTTTACCAGCCAACAGCGCGAGAGCGCCGAGCGCTAGAGGCACTAATGTACCACCAATTAATAGAGGAATAGCAAGAAGACCACCTAATTTACCTTTCTTCTTACGACCTAGAAAAGATAATATAATTACGATGTAATGAAACAAATTCTATACATATTTAACAAACAAGTATTTAAATTAATCTTATTTCAATTGTACACTTATATTTTATGTATATTTATTATAAATTATACAAAGATATCTGATCAATCAAGCAACTTTTATTTTATTATTAATAAATCACGTTATTGGAACAACTTTTTATCAACGGCGTCTTCTTACCTTCTTCCGTGAAACTACGTTGAAATTCTTCTACATTTGGTAACTTTAGCTTTAGAGTGTGACTTTGAAAGAATTTAGCGATTTTATCGAAAATCATGCTATTGAGAACGTCCTCTTTGTCTTCCAACGCTCGGGGTAAACTAGCTTCAATTTCCTGCATAGATTTTTCTGGTTCAGATTCGTTAGTAGTAGCTGATTCATCTTGGACTAGCGTGACGCCATCAGCCACATTTAATTGTGCGGTTCGAGAAACCCTATCTATAGCCGACAAGAGTTTCAGCTTTAGACAAGGATTTAGTTCCGCGCCGGAACATTCCTTGTATACTTGATAGACAGAGCGTAAGTCGCTAAATAGGCCATTGCTATTCGATCTTACGGTTTGTTGCTCATTGATGGAATTAGATATGGGATTAGTTTCAGCTGATCTCGCAGAGACCGCTGTTAATACAGCCAGACATACATAATAGTGCGCAAACCGTTTCATTTTGCGAAGTGAATATATCTGTGAAGAATAATTTAACATTTACACTAAATGATTGATATATCAATAATTTTGTTCTATAATTTAATAATATAGAATCAAGACAATTATAACATACTGATAAAGAGAAAGTCAAAAAATAAATTATTAAAAAGTAAAGGAATTATTTATTTTTGTAAGGTAATGTGTGTATATAAGCACACAAATAATCTTTTAATAGCTTTAAATTCTAAATTGTAAGACAATTTTTATTCGTGTCACTATTAATTATATTGTTAAATTATAATTGATTAAAATTTATTAACCGGAGAAAAAATCAACTTTTCTCTAAAGGTCTAAATTTATCAGAAATATTTATGCCCCCTATAAAATATATGTCAAAGCATAATTTCTATCTATTAAAAAAAGCATGATATTCTTCGAATAACCTAATCACTTCTGCATTCTATTTCAAATCAAATTATCTGAATCAATTCAGGGTATTTTCATATAAAAATTTTATATATATTATATATATATATATATATATAAGTCTATCAAGCACTGTACCTTCCACGTGGCTCGATACGAAAATCAAATTTGTCCTTTGCTTCTCTCTCAGCTATCCGACTGCATCCACGCGGGTACCGACTTTTGGTTAATTTACCACGATGCGTACGAGATGCATGTATACCTGAGAGCACTCTAAGTAGACTGTACGTAACGGAAGCCCTGCCCTAGCTCTATATATCTAGCCAAGTATACCTCCGTACCGAGCGATATTCTCCCCACCCGGTTAGCATCACTATTTACCGCCACCATTTCGCGACTATTTTCATGCTCGGACATTGATTTGAGAACGGTTGCTTTTACGCTTACAACTAAACCACCCGGAGGGCGAGAGTAGAGAGCAGAATTCCATGCGCTTCATAATCTTTCGAGTGCTCCCCCCGGATTTGTCTCCCACCAACGCGACACGTTAGACGCATCCGAGCGATTCTACCGCAGCTGCAGTTTTGCTCCGTGAGCGGAGTTCTGTGCTTTCGTGAGGGTCTCTTCTTTTTTTTCTTAATTATCCTTTGCTCGTTCGCGCGCCTTGGTATCCCGCGTCGAAATATTTCGACCAGTTTAACCGCATTTTGTTCGTATCGTTATTCCGTTGCCCCTCTTGTGCGTGGGCGGCACCGCTACTTACGCATTATTAGCTGCCAGCGGTTCGATGATCCCGCTTTTGTTCCTTGGATCTAATTTCTCGTCGTCACACTCAGGTTCATGGAGGTATAAGAATAAGATTGAAAATGAAAGGAATAGACACGCTTCGGAATGAGCAGTCGAAAACGCAAAATACACGCATACCAGGTGTCAAAACGAAATATAATAATATGTCGCAGAGATATTTACAATAGAAAGCGCTTTGTACGACGTTCACACGCGGTCATTGATACATTTGATAAGCATGAAGCGCAATAAAATATTAAGTATGTTATTGGCACGGGGCTTCATGCCTATAAATTATATTCTCTTGCGTTTATGATACTATAAAATCGTTTCTTTAAACTGAGGCAGCGAGATAATTTTGAGGAATCCGCGTTGCTCTATCTATTTTTTCCTGCTTCATAATTTGAGATTTTAGCGGTAATAGATTTAGAGATTCACGCACAGTAGAAGAGGAACTAGAACTTTTTCAGATATCGATCGAGACACAGTTTAAAGTTACTACCGATACCAAATTATCATCACATATGTACGATTGGATATAACTGCATTTCTCATTACTTCTCAAGTATTGGAACACACAGTTAAGCTACCGGCATTAAACTTGTGATTCTTTGGTTCAGCTATTAAATCAAGGTGACAATGTACGTTCCACTTTTCAATGAAAGATCGAACAAACGTTTCCCTTTACGCACCAACATAATCATGTCATCGAAAAAGAGAAACGATGAATCGGCGAATTAACGTATACCGTTACGCGCGTTAGACACAATTTCTTCATCCAATTAATCATCTAATTCACACGATGCTTCATCCTTCTACTTGGTCCTTCGTATATATCCTTGACTTTTCATCCTGTTCAATTTGACATACGCCAATAGACGCAGCATTAACTAGGTCATACTAAGTGAAAACTCATTGTATGTATAACATATACATTTAGACTTTGGCACGAAGAAAGAAATAAAACAAAAATATGTATCATCGTGTAAAGAAAAAAAGTAAAACAATCTCTATAATTGTAGAAATATTATTAGAAAATAAATATAATTTGCTCTAGCATATCATTGTACTATAACCCGGCCCCTTCGCCTTCGTTAACACACCGTTAAAACTGCCAGTGCATGACGTTTTCATTGAGTCGCACGCTACTCAAGAAAGCATTGCGACCAAATAACGGATGCAGAGGAAAGAGACGCATCTTCTTCTCATTCTCTCTCGTTTCGCAGCTTGCTTCTCGCCGAGTTGTCGTCCACACGACTGCGATGCTGCCGGAACTTACCTGCATAATGTCGCGTTACCGATTTCTCGTACGCATACGTGCCGTGAAAATGATCTCCCAACGCGACTGTGTGTGGCGAAAGCGACTGATCTCGTAGAACATTACGATAAGATACGAGATAATAATCTCTCGTCCAGGTCTTCATCATTTCCGGTGGTGAAATTCTTCGTGGAACCATGCATCGAACGGCAATTCTGAATTCCATTTTGTACAACCGTTTCGTCGTACGGTGATTTTCTCAACCGGCCCGATACGCGTGGCTGCTCGGCCGATGAAACTGTCGTTATTGTACATCCTTTTTCTTCTTTAAAGTTACTCCGGTAGCAGCGGGAGGAACAGTATTACCCACGGTATGCAGGTTACCAGTTGTACCTGACTGCCTGTGTGTCCGGTTTTGGAGGATAATTACTGGGTTAAATTAAATATCGTATAGATGTTTATACTGTGATTACAATGTATTTTTTTATTCCTATTATACCTATGAATCAACGAAAAGTGTGTAGGGAAATCTTATTTAAAATTTACGGACGCTTTATCATATGTAGAACTAATTCTCATGAAACTAATAGTAAGTCAAATTAGTGACCTATATATTAGTGTTTATATGACATGGAAACATATATTTCTAATATTAATGCAGCTCACGATTTTATACGAATATTAACTTGATTTTTTTGTTGCAACGAAGGTTATAATTTAAAAAGATATTTTCTTTTTATGAATAATTCAATTCAACTAACTCAATTTTTGCAGAAATAAATTAATTATACATGAATATATATATACACATATTGTGTGTATATACATATAATACAATTAGCTAATAATAAAAAATGAGATATGTTTAACATGTATTAATCTATTTTAAATTTTTAGAACGAAAAAATTACTTTAAATTTAATTAGATTTCGCTCGTTTTCTGCAATGCAAAGTATAAAGAAAAAACGGTCTAAATCGAGCGGTAATAAGAATTGTTTACAATGTTAACTTTAACATATTAATATATTAACGTTGTAAACTAGAAATTTATTTTAAATTTCTCCAGATATTTGCTAATAATTTTAATAAAAATGGACAGCAAGAAATGCAAGAGAGAGAGAGAGAGAGAGAGAGAGAGAGAGAGAGAGAAGTTGCGAAATATTTCTGCATATATCGTAAATCTGCATTTAGAAATAAATCGTCCATGATCATATTATACGATATTGCATTCCTGCAGTAGACCGTTTATATTGCACATTTCTAGACTACTTTCGCCCGCACTTATAAACCTCATCCTATTTTCTTTATCTATTTATGTATGGAAAATGTGGTACAGCAGCGCATCCGGTCTACGATCGTGCTACGAGTTCAATAGATCGTATTTCACGGCTTTACGTTACGCTTTATGGCTACGAGTGCAAGTGCAGTATTATGTATAAATAGAAGCACTCGGTCATGAACCACGGTCACTCTTACGAGAGCTGCAAGATACGCCGGTTTCTTCGGCCGGTGAACGCTGCAGGTGAACTTATCAATGAAACTTTTTTTTCTTCGGGATAAGGATGGAGGCATCTCATTTGTTGTTTTTTTTATTACAAAAACAGGAGGTGTCATATAGAAGCACGCAGTCAAACATCAAATAAATATTAATTATATAAGATACAACGAATAAATAACGAATTTACGTAAATCTACGTATATAAAACAATGAGCATCTCCCAGAGGTACTGGTGACTGGCCGCGGGATCGGCCATTATATAAGATAAGATATAAAAGAAAAGAAGAAGATAAAAAAGAAAAGAATCGAAATATGAGAGATCATGTAAGTATAAAAAAAAAGGATGTATAGATTGATTCGAGAAGATTTTAGATAGAAAATAGCGAAATCGAATTGAAAATAACATCGGAAACTATAGGTAACACGGCATATTTTCTTGGAAAGTAGGAGATAGACTAGGTACATATAGCAACAGCTCGAGTAAGAAAGGAAAAAGGAAAGAAATAACAAGGAATGCAATAAGTGAAGCAGGCGTGAGTGTAATGAAAGGGAAGAGAATCATCAGAGAAGAAAATGGAAGAGAAGCAAGAAGCGGGACGGAAACTTTCTATGGTACGCTCAAGCTTGTGGTTGGGGTTGGTGGGCGCGATAGGCAATTTCATGAGCATCTTGTGGCAGACTCCTGGCCCATCCGTGTCCACTGCTACCGTAACCACCACCGAAGTCACCACCGCCGCCGCCGCCGCCGCCGCCACCACCGCCGCCGTAACCGCCGTGATCATCATGGCTAACATGGCTGCTGCTGTGATGCGGATGCGAGACTACTTCGTAAGTCACATGCTTCTGATGAGAACCGAGAAGCTTCTTCAGTCCGATGATGGCTGAGATCACGAGAGCGATCTTGCCCACGAGCAGAGCCTTGCCAGCAATCAAGGCAATCGCGCCGAGTGCCAGTGGTAATAAAGCGGCCGCTTTCAGGGCCAAGGCCATCAACAGGGGTCCTAAGATCTTCTGCGCCTTTTCTGTAATATTTAAAATGTTCATATTTTA